TCCTTTCAATTCTATCAGTTGTTGAAGGGCTACTGAAACAATTGCCCATCTTCTAGTTTTTAAGCACTTCACTCGTCACAACAAATCATCACCAGCGAAATGTACCTTGATTTTTGTATAACACTAAGAAATTGTATTCGCGTTTGTGGAAACAATTTTCATGACAATAACAAATGAGAACACATTTCAATCTCTCAACCTCCATTCATAACTGACAGAGAAAGGCCAATAGTTTTTTTAAGACTATTATTATTCCACTTTATTGTTCTTTAATGAACGACAACTGACAAGTGACAAATTCAAAATGATACTGTAATATAAAGGCACAGGATCTCGTACATCAGACATCAATATCGATTTCATGTATTCAACCAGTTTATTTTAAATATATGACTGTTTCACAAACTACTTATTCTATAAGTGGTTTATGGACTATTTCCAATACTCCAATTGATAATGCGCCGACAGGAGCGAGTGATAATTCTCAGAGCGTTAAATCGTTCATGTTTATAAACTTTCGAACTATTACCAGTTCTTTTCTTTAACCAGTAACAGACGAGTCATGTTTCTCTAAAAGACGGCTCTTTGAAAAAATTAAGGTACAGCAGCTACTATAATCTCATTCATTATATTCAAATAGCTATCCATCCAGAGACAACGGAGAAGAAATTCTTCAAAAATGTTGTCACCGTACTCTCCTCATTTCCCCTTTGGTGCTACCATTTGATAATGTGTAATTGGTAACGAATGACGAATGACGAGCAATATCACTTCTCATGTGAGCAAATTGAAAGAAGTTATTTTGTCTAAAAACCAAAATATATTGGTCATACCTACAAGGGAGAATAGTCCACAATAAAAAAAAAATCAAAACAATTTTATATTTTTATTCGGAATCATCCTGACATGGGACGTGAAATGAAGTTCAAAATGAGAGTTCAAGTATATTCTTCTTCAATCAAGAAACATGATTATTATCAAACAAGAGAAAGCAATCAATCAATAATAACTCGACTGATCGCAACCAAATTCAACATGATATATATAGGAAAAAAATTACATATTCGAATTAACAATTAATATCAATTCATATTCAATTCAGGTCGGAATTTCCTTTGATGGAATCCTCATGGAAATATTACAGAAGAAAGTATAAAGTCAATGAATCTGAATACTTATCCAAGTATTTCTTTGAAGGCTGTCTTAAATTTACATGTATTTTCCATCCAAAGTTTAACATTTTACTGATTGTCACATCCGGAGATGATAATCGATGTGGATGAAATTCAGTAGGAATGACTTCGATTCTCGACACCATCGGCTTCAACGAAAAGTGCACAGATATTTCATAAAGTTGGTGCTGATGAATGATTCAACTTCGGGCCACTTGATGTTATGTTGTAGGGTTATATTCTTGATTTGCTGGTTTTTTCACGCTGAGTGTTTTTATGCTCTCCAATACAAACGCCAACAAATGAAACTCTATCGAAACACATGCATGAATTAAGTAGAGTATCCTAAAAAGTCTTCACGACTCAAGAGAAAAGTAAAAGTGGTAACGAATTTTTTTTGCAAACTACCTACTCAACAACTTCTTAACGTACTTATATGGGTTTCATCTAGTTTCATTCCTAAAAAAAAACAAACAGTCTTAATACTTTTCTAAGACGACTTCGATTGAAAATTGAACTCATTAAGAATTTATGAGAGACAAGGCAAATAAGCCAACCAGTAGACAATCTCAAAGGATTTCTATTCTTGAGTGATCGAAATCATTCTTGTTGTTTTCATGCCTTTCGATGCCTTTCAGGTGCAATTTCTTTGCTCAAACAAGAAATGTGTTTATCATATTCACACATACATGTTTAGATCCTATACAGAAGACTGGAGATTGAAGAGTCAGGCATACTTCAAACAACTTTGATAAATTACTTATTTTAAGATGATTTTGAAAAATTGAAGATTGTGATCCTTGTGGGACAAACTCCCAGAGCCCGTTTCTCCGAATGAGTATAATATAGCTGCAAATAATGGACCCGTTGATGAAAATTAATGACACTATCTATGATAATAATCATAGGATTTTCATAATAAATTTTACTTTAGATGCGCCCTAAGCATAATTTATAGTGAAAAATCAATGTTATCATGAATAGTAATATAGCTGAAGGTATATTCCGATATAACGTATATCGAAACATAAAACAATTCTTAATGTTTTTATGATCTTTGATTACCAATTTTCATTCCGTTTTAGGCGACCGAAAAAATATTTATAAATCTTGAAATTAAATGATGAGGAATCTACAAAAAAGAGGTTATTAGTCGAATGATGAGTGATACTTCTCAAAACTGTTTGTTGATGAGTAGATTCAATGTTATTCTTGTTGTTTCTTTAATAGATATGATGATTCATGTACCTTGCGTATTAACATAAAAAACTTCGACATATTCGGTTTTGATATTTATATAAAGTAATAGAATACTAAGCAAATTTCTTATGTCAACAAAATAATCATAGTGATTTTCATTAGTTCGGACTTTCATTGTCTGATATGATTCTACTGTGACTCGAAATCCATGAAAGAACAAACAAAATTAGAAGTAGCTCAAATATAAATTATATTAAGCCATAAAACCTGAAATCAAAATACAATAAAACGAATAAAATAATCAAGATACAAAATAAATTAAAAAATTGAAAGAAGATTTTAAACGACATTTCGATATTTAGTATCTACAATCGTCTTCGGGTGATAACTGAACTATTCCCCCGTGAGATGACTATTTATAGGACTTACCTCTCGCCGCTTCACCGGTTTAGCGGGAGTTGACCGATTGGCGGGAGTCAACCGATTTCCGCTTGGTTACTGGTTTCCGTATGTTGTGTATCTCTACGCTAGCTTGGCTGAATTCGTTGTTGAACAACATATATGCAGCTTCTTAAAACTTCCTCTTAAACGAGGGTTCCTCCCTGTAGATGATCTCAGATTGGAAACACTTGATGTTATGTTGGTGAGTCCAAAACGCTCTGATATCCCAGATTTGCTGGTTTCCCTCGGGGTTTGTTTTTCTTGTGCTCGGTAATGCGGACTTTCAATGATCTCTCAGTTTCACCGATATAGGATTACTCACAGGGTATCCGGTAAGTAGACCAATCTTTGCCAAGATTAAAAGCACGTGCTTGAAGATCTGCTAAGACATAGAGAATACCTACAACAGGAAGTGGGGAAAGTTGGTGAGAAAACAATGCCCAAATGTAGACCGAAAACAGGACAATTACGAAGCCGCTTACATCATCAACATGAGTTCCCACCCACTCACGGACATAGAGTAATCCTTGTTAAAGAAAGGTCTTAACTTCGCCAACATCTGTGCTCACTTTGGAGATAATTACTACAGTGGATTCCACCAGTTACCCCATTGATCAGACCGAGGCAGAAGAACTTAGATAAAAAATCAGAAAACAACTAGAGAACCCGTTCCAGCATCTAACATCAGTGATGAAAAGACGAAGAGCTCTGAACGCAGAGATAACACCATCAAGATACTACCTGCAGATAAAGAAAACGCTACTGTTGTGATGGATACTGATCTCTACGAACAGAAGATCAAAGATGTGCTTCAAAATTGCCAATATATGAAGATTGAACGGGACCCTACTGAATCAATCGAAAGGAAGTTACCAGACTTTGTAAAAACACCAAGTATATTTTTCCGAAAAGGAGAGATCATCGCTAACACCGAATTACAGTAAGCCCCCTCACTTGTATGAACTACCCGAAATCCACAAGAAGTGTATTCAGCTCAGACCGATCATCAGTTCCAGAGATTCAGCTACTAAACACTTGTTAAGAATTTTACTTCCAAGGAAATACTTGATCTTTTGTGAAGAATTCAAAGCATTTTGTCGAATCACTAATGGAGGTAATCGAAGTCACAATCATAAAAGCCTTTACACCAACGTTCCTGTCTAAGAAGCACTTCAAATCCTACAAAGGAAGCTTTCCGAAGACGAGGACCTGGAACTTACCTATAGAGGTCATCGGTACTGTGTACGGAACTGCTATTGAGGGACTGCCAGTGGGATCGCCACTTTCACCAGTTATACCCAACATATATATGGGGTGGTTTGAAACCATCAATCTACCAAAAGAGGAATAGTAGCAGCCTCACGAAAACCAGGCCATCAAACTCGGACTGCGATTCCAAGAATTGCATTTACCGGATACCCTGTGAGTGCGGCAAATCCTATCTGAGATCATCCACAGGAAGAAACACTGGTTTGCGAGGAAGTTCAAAGAAGCTGCATATACGTTGTCCAACGACGCATTCAGCCAAGCTAGCGTAGAGATACGCAACATATGGAAACCAGTAACCAAACGGAAATCGGTCAACTCCCGGGAAGGTGAGTAGGTGAAAACCCTCGAATGACCTATAAATAGTCACCTCTTGGAGGAATAGTCCAGTCATCACCTGAAGACGATTGTAGATATTAACAATCGACGCATCATGAAGTACCTTGGTCCTAAATCTTGATTATCTCATTCGTTTTACAGTATACAGTTCTAAATTGTCACCGCGCATTCGTAGTGAATATGTTTGGGGAAATTCGAATTGTTTTGGGTAATTTGATAATTTTTTATTGGCACAGTTGTTCGAATATAATTCAAAACTTGAATACATTCATTCTGGTGTTGAAAAGATTACGTCACATAAATTATGATTTGAAACGTATTCATAATGATACAAAACGAAATTTGACGTTTACATTAAGTCAGTTGTCAGTTTCTGCTTTATTTTGATCGTTATAGTTTACAAAGAACTGAAAACATTTTATCAAATACGTTGTAAGGATGTACAAAATGAAGCTGTATGCACAAATACGATTTTAATTGAGGTTTGAGAAAATTGAAGAGTTTGTTTTTATTATTGAATTTGACATCTGACACAAATCGAATCATTCCACTCTGGCGAATCTTATTATTAATGACGTCACAACGAACCGTTTATGAATACACTCTTGAATACTCTCATGAATACTATTAAAATTAAACGCCAAAGCCAGAAAACCACAAGACGCAAATTTGGCAGACTGCAGAATCATTCTGACATTTAACGCATTTATGAGAGAGAGATTATTTTTTGGACATTTACCGAAAAGACTTTGAGTGGAAGTGACAGAATAGGTAGTGAAAAGTGAATATATATTTTATTGATTTGTATTTCCAATAAATTTTCCAAACACAGGGATTTATTACTGAGAACAGTATTGTTTTTTAGTAATTCAAGGGAAAGTATAATATAAAATTTGTCATGCCACAATATAAAGGTTAGTAAAACTTTTTCTAATGTTTTTTTAGAAAAACTTATTTTTGTGGGC